AACCACTGCCATCGAAGTTGTAACTTCTATAAAAAAATTCTATCGAAGTTAAACTTCGATAAGAGGAAGCATCGAAGTTGTAACTTCGATAAACATGCTAACTTCGATACGACATATATATAGATAAACGAACAAGATTCGCTATTGCATTTTTTACTATTTACAATCATCAACATATCATTTATATAACTAAGAAATAGCAAATGGCTGACTCAAATCCAGAAACTGGTAATATTTATCGTTGTGTTGTTTTTCCTCAAATAATAACTTTTATTATTATTATAAATTGTATCTTTGTTCTAGCTGAATGCTTTATGGATCCAGAAGTTTCGAGATGTCCACCACACAAGCCTGAAGTTTCGAAATGTCCACCACACAAGCCTGAAGTTTCAAAATGTCCACCATACAAGCCTGAAGTGTCAGCATGTCCACCATACGAGCCTGAAATGTCAAAATGCCCACCACATACTTAATTGAACAATCAAATTTCGACAAACTGTCATATGAACATTCAATTAAAGCAAATTTTCTTTCTAATAATATCGTAGAAGTATTCATTAACTAACCAATCTTTTCATTAATGTATTCCTTCAATAAACTATCTTATAATGATTCTATTCTTCGTAATTTGTATTTCAATATAGCTTAATCAAAATAAAACGAAATATATTATTGCTTCATAATATATTTTGCATAGAATAAATGTTCTTAATGCGAATATACTTTTGAAAAAGATTTTAATATCTCAACAAATTATGATAATTTTAGTGATTATTTCTTTTTCGTGTATAATGAATTAAAAGATGACATTAAAATGAAGAAAAAAAAAATGATTCTAGAAAATTATAGCTTCTAGATTAGTTCTAGATGAAGAGCCAGTTATTTATTTTTTTTCTCAATGGTTTGAATTAAAAGATGTTTTATATACAACATAAAATTTAATTGTTTTTAAATTCACTCCTCTAATATTGTTTGTCTTCTTTTTTTTGTGCACATGACTGTACAAATCATTTGTACATTCATATTTTATAATCTTTGTCTAACACACTGATTGTGTTAAATATTTAAAACAAAGCTGAGTGAAATATTAGATTATTCAGTCAAATTTACGTTGTGATAAACTATTTTCATCTTGATTATCATGACTTTAATAATATTTTTTTCATCTAAAATAACCTTGTATCATGTCGCCATTTTTTACTTTGCACAAACAGCTGTCGAATTATACACAAAATGTACTCATTCGTAATGCATAAAAAATAAGCGACAGAAAAGAGAACAAGGTCAAAAAAAAAACATATTTACATTTTAGAGAAGTTTTGATAGAAAAAGGGACCAGAAAAATATTTTCACTATTCAGAGTAAACAGTTGTTCACTTTTGAGAGGTTTTACTATATAATTATTTATACTCATCTTTATTCATTATTTCATAACTGTTCTATGTACAATTGACTTTATTCATAAAAGTTAATCGACGTTTTGATTTGGTGAATTCATCAATAATATTTTCAATATCTAATTGTCAAGAGATGTTCTTAAGAATACTGATAGTAGCTAAATTAATAAGTCATTCATCATATGTAGTATTGTGTAAATTAAGAATGTCGCGAGTATAGATTTTTGTGGACTAAACTCGAACCTGAATCCGTGTCTGGAAGAACCCACAGCTCTCTAGTGTAAATAATTTTTAATTATCTTCATGACAGAAAACAAATGCTTGGGAGTAGCTATCGAAATCTTAATTTAGATGAGAATAATAATTGATGTATTTGATTGATTGAATAACGACATCTTTATGATATTTTCATTTATTAGAATTCGATAAAAAAGAATTAATAGTGTCTTTTGGTAATCGATTAATAAATTAAGCAAAGCACGGTTACATATATTTCGCTAGTCAAAAGTAATGAAAGATTGATCAAATTTTTATATTTTGTTTGACTTTTGAAAAAATATAATGTCGTATTGAAATTCATGGTTCTATTAATAGTTAGTTTAATAATGAACAAATTCTTCATAGCTAATGCCCATTTGAAGAAAAAGGCAGATAACATTTTTTTTAATAACATTTAATAGAAACACGATAGAGAGTCGTAGTTTTCATCTTAGGAAACACGAGATGAAGATCCTGTATGATGACTATAGTGAATTTTCAATTGTTAGATGTACATTCGAACTGCTAATGAAAGATCAACAAAACTATACTAATCTCACGTATTTAGATTTCGTAATTTGGGAATCATAGATTATCCAGTCAAAATTGTTGCCCGACTTTTCGAGAAATTGTTGTTTTTCTTAAGTTGAAAGGAAACATTTTTCCGATACTTTTTTATGAATTTGATTAAAAAACCTATAATAAATATATGATTCGATGCGAATTTATCTTTTCTTTCCAATGGTGAATACCACAACGCTCTATCTTATTTTTATTAAAAGTTCGAAATTAACATTAGTTGATTTGAAATATATAATCCAGTATCATCATTCTTCACAGGTACATTAATAATGAAAGTAGAAATTTTGATTAACAAACAATAAAAAAATAATAATTAAAAATTCTTTGTTATTATCTATTTGCAAGCTTGTTGTTGTTATTACAATTATAGAAATTATTTGCTGTTGATTATTGTGAAACATCTTAATCTATACTTCTCTTAGATCTCTTGTTCAATAGGGTGTGAATGTGGAGATGAGGGTGAATCTGGTTTGGGTTGAGACGGAGAACGAATAGAGAAACCACGCTTATATTGTTTTAGAATAATAATTAGATATAGAGATTTCATTGAAAAGTACAACAGAATAAAGATTCGGCAAAAATCTGACTGATTAAATGAAGGCGTTGACTGATCTTTGTTTTACACGTTGACTGGAAAATGATTTATATTTCGCGCCAATACGCTTTTTTGTATAGAGTGGAAAATGGGTCAGTTTTTATTTTAAATTTTTGTCGACAGAATTCAAATCTTTCGACGGCTCTCGGTAAATTTACGTTATTTGTACAAATACATATGTATATAATTGACTGAAATACACAATTTTGTAGAGAAAGATTATAGCTATCATCTGAAAAGATTATAGATCCTTTATTAAACATGACTTAGTATTGTGTGCTTCAAATTTTTCTGTAGAAACAAAAATATTCTTGTAATGTCTGAAAAGGTGAAGTATGGGTGAATGCAAGTGCAGGTATCGATCAATGAATGTGGGTTAATGTTCTCTCGATTCATTCACATCCACACACACAACAATACACATCATATCCATACGATAAAGAATTTCATGATGTAATATAGCATGCATGTTACTCAATTAATTTAGAAGTATTTTTAGAATTCCTAATTTAAATACTGTTTATGACTGTGATATTTTATTCAATATAAAAATATTTAACTAAAAATAATACTGACATCCGATCCATATTCATTCCTAAATTCACACCAACCTTTACACCAACAGCGTTTTGCCCAATAATCTTCGAAAATAAACACACTCACGTTATAATTTGGAAATATATTGTTCAAGCTGGTGAAAAGACTATCACGTCGTTTTTCGCAATTGCTTTCACCTTTTGTATTATAAATAAAGGAAAATGCTTTGGATCTGATTTCATCTTCTTTCATAAATAATCCTTTGGATTTCTGTAATTTTATAACTCGCAACCAATCTTCATCATCACATTGTACCTCTGATAACTTTGTTTCATATCCCTTCCAAGCTCCACCTGGTGCGGTCCACCTGTGAACCACAAACAAATCGTCAGGATAAGCCTTTCTAAAATTTTCAAAAGTCTCATTCAAGATGTTGGCCATTGTCTTTTCGGCACAAGTAATAATTTGAATCAAAGTTACTTCAGTTATTCAATAAATAATACAATGATACGTTCGTTCAATGTTCTTCCGTATAACTACTTGATCCTCATAGAGAAAGTGATGAATATAAGTATATATATATATACTCACCACTTTCTGTATGAGAATCAAGTAGCTCTATACGAGAACACTGAACTAACACATCATTGTATTGTTCTTTTTTTATCGACTTAAGATTTTTCCAAACCTTTGAAGAGCTAGAATCAATTTTTTTTTAGCCAAAAAAAACCGGTTGTTGGTAAAAGTATATTAGATATTATTCTAATCACAAAAAATATTACTTTTATTTTTTCATAAAATGTTTACACTGTTGTGCGCCTTAAATTTCTTTTGAATCAGAGGTCCTGACTTAGGTTTGTACATGCCAATTCTTGTAAAACCTTCAGTGACGTTGTATGTCACAGTATTTCGAGCTATCCTTACTGTAGAATGCGTTGAGTGCACAATTTCTAGATGTTGAGTATAGTTGCTATAAGATATACGAATCACCAGTATTCACCATCTAGAAATTGGAAATTCAACAGCAATTGAGTTGAAGTTCGAAGGATTCAAAGCATTGTACAGTGAGGGTAGCTCGAAAAACTCTGACACACAACCCCGCTGAAAAAATTACAAAAATTGATCTCTGCAAGTTCAATTCGAAGCCACTATAACTGAATGACTACGTTGTTCGATACATAATTATATAGCATTGTGTTCAAAATTCAATACTACCAGTGATGAAATGACCCTGGATTAACATCTCATATCACAACGTAGGCGAATGTTAAGTGTACACTGTCTTCAATTCCAATTGATTTTCTAGAATTCTTTAAGTTTCGAACCATTGAAAGAAATTCACGATTTTCTACAATGAGAGAACTTGAAACACTGTTACATCTAACCCTACTGACTTGAATTACGAAGACTTGTACATACAATCTTCATGTCGATGTTTCAAACTCAAAAATACTAGTTAATTTCATGAATGTTCAGGGACGGCGCGACCGGGGGGGGGGGGGTGGGGGGGGAACCCCCCCCTTCCCCAGAAAATTTTGACTGGCCCTTTCTCCG